AGTATCTGCCCTGCTGCTGGAAGATGGCCCAGAGCAGCAGCCTCCTCAGCCTGGCTCCGGCCAAAGGAGACCAAACTCACCTGCATTAAGGCCAAGCAGGCATCCCCCTGCATGGCACCAGGTTACCACCAGCATCACCAAATCTCCTCCCAAAGCGCAGGCTGCAAGCGGGGTCCTGTGCAGCTTGGCTTCACTGAGATGCTTGTCTCTAGCAAACAGCCTGTCGAAAAGGCTACTGATATGCTCAGCTTTTAGCATGAATAGGCAAACCCCCTTTCCCTGACTGATTTTATTGGGTATGTTCCCTTTTCCCCCTGTCTCCCTTATGCATTTCTCTGGTGCATCCTCCAGGACTGCCAGTTTAGAGTAAAAAGTGTTTTGGCATCTGTGTTTCCCCCCCAGGAGTTTGCTGCAGCATCATTCCCACAGCATCTCCTGCTCCTGGAGACAATGCTTCTCTGAGCAGCAGGAGTGCAGGGTGCTTGTGAGCGGGGCCGTGTTTCAGGTGGCCAAGGGGCAGCCCCGGCACCTCTCCTGTGGCCAGGTGCCCAGTATGGCAATGCATTGGTGGCCATGTGAAAATCTGGCAGGGCTGGTGAGCCAGGGTGGCTGGGCAGAGCTGGGATGGGTCTGGTTTCTGGGGGCTCTCCCCCCATGTTCACATCAGCCATCAGACACTGGCGGTATCACTCCCTGCTTCCAGCACCGCCCCAAATTTCTGCGGTGACAAGGCAGAGTTTGGGCTGACTTTGCTGAATTGGCAACGAAGGAAGAAGTATGCAAGCATAAATTTAATGTGACAGGGATGCCAGTGAAATTGCTCTTGGCCGTGTGCCTGGTGCTGCTCCCGTTGGTGCTGGGGGATGGAGCCACCCAAGCAGTATCCCCTCGCCCTGCCTGTCCTCCCTGCCACGTTGGAGCAGAGCCTCATTCATCCCCACCACCCCACACATTTCCTGGGCTCTCGCATGGTGCATTAAAACCACCGTGTGCCCCTGTGGGCCAACGAGCTGGTGTCCCGAAGTGCTGAGCTCACCAGGGATGGATGCAGCCATGCACCCGTCCCCTTGCAAGTGTCTGTCCCCTTAGGCACTAAGTGCCTGCAGCCACGCAGTCCAGCCCAGCATCGCTGCAGGGTTAACTTGAAGAAGTGAATTTGCCGGGGCACAGAGCTGGGCAGCGATGCCCACTGGCTTCTCACAGGCAGGAGGGCAGGTTTTGCTTCCTGGTCCTGCAGGGAGTTCCCCACTGGTTTTTTGCCTGCGTGAGCACCGCTTGGGTCAGCGGCAAGGTGGGGCCGCCCGGCTCCTGGGCTGGCAAAGCAGATTTTCCTGTTTTGGCTGTGCCGTGCAGCCACCATCCCTGCTGTGCCCTCAGCTCCGCACCTGGCGGGTCCTGTCTCACCCCACAGTGTGCCCCTGCCACATGCGGCAGCTGGGCCCGGAGCCCACGCAGCAGGGAAGGGAGACTGAGGCTGGGAAGAAGACGCATTGGTAAGTCTGGTTTCGGGAGCCCAGTCAGCACAGGGTGGGAGCGAGAAGCAGGTCTCCCCCAGCCCCTTTTCCAGGAGCAGGGATGCTCAATGCTCCCTACAGAGTCCACCGAGGCTGCGCTGAGTCTCCCAGACTGCAGCAGGGCTGTCTCCATTGTCACCAAAACAGCTGCTCAGGTCACCCGGCAGGGCTGGGATGAGCTTTTTTTTTAAACCAGGGCCAATGTCAGACTAATGTGACACAGCCCATGGGGGTCTGGCAGGGAAAAAGTGCTGAGACACCTAATTCTGTGCTGGGTGGGTGCCTGCTTGTCCGTGCTGTTGTGCCCACCCACTGCCACAGCCCAAAACTGCAGCCCAGCACCTCTTAAATATCACAGACATATCACCAGCCACCAGTTTCCGTGTGTGGGGACAGGAGAAACCGATCATTAAAGTTGCTGGTGGTGAGACTGCGAGCGGAGCTGGAGTGTCCAACGGCACAGATGTCCCGGGTGGCCCTGGGCAAGTCACTTAACCTGCACCTCATTGCCCCAGCGATGATGCTGGAGGGATGACAGCAATTCCCACATCTCTCCAACTCTTTGCCCACATGCAGCAAAGCCCACTGTTGGAAAAATTAAGGCTCTTGCTGGCTTCGCAGGCTCAGCAGAGGGAAGTGCAGAGGTGGTTTCTCCCTGGGAGGATCCTTGTGCAAGGAGCCATGGCCCTGCAGGGTGGGCAGAACGCGTACAGAGCACAGGCAGAGCAAGGCAGCATTGGGCTCCTTGAGCAGGATCTGCTCAGATGCAGGGCAGACAGCTGGGGCAGCCAAGGCAGACAGACACATACCTGCCAGCCTCGGTCACAGCACCGGGGCTGGGTGGCTGGGTGCTGCCAGCACCGGCTCCCTGCGCACCTCTCCTGCTGCCGCTCCTCACCTGAAAGGAGGCAAGGAGGAAGTTTTGGCTATGAGGAAGTGTTCATGCTAGAATAAGAGCCTTGCTGTGGGGACAGCAGTAGTGAAAAAACATTCTGCTTTAAATTTGAAGCCTCCCCTTAAGTTGCGTCAGCATTGTCATGTGCATGGGTCACGCTTACGCAAAGTTTCTGAGCCAGCGTGACCCCAGCCTGGTGGTACCACTGCCACCTACAACACGGGCACCAGCCCTGCCGCAAGCCCAGGAGCGACCCCTCCTGCTTCTCAGCCCTGTGAGAGGGGGAAAATAGCTGAAAAAGGGTGTTAGCTAATAGTGGGGTTTGTCTAGGACTGAGCAAACCCTTCAGCTCATGCTGCGTGGCCAGGGAGGAGCCAGCATAAAGCAGCTCTTGTTTCTTTTTCCCCTACAGGCGGGTGATTCCTCTTCTCAAAAACAAAGGAAAACTCCCTAATCCCTCTCTCCGCTCGAGGGGCCGGCTGGCGCAGAGCCCTCCCTGCCCACGGCTCTCTCCTGATCCATTTCACACCTCATTGCCAAAGTGGCCAAGCCCTAAAGCTTACTCTGTGCTCTATGTTTTAATTGTGTTTGCTCTCATTAGAGCCCTGGGCCGCTGGCAGCACACGAGCTACTGGAAAGGAAATCCCCACCCTGTTAATTTTGCTTGCGTCCCCAGGTCACCCCAGCTTAGCCATGGCGGTGGCAGCCAGGAAAGGCAGGACGACGGCCTCCCCCCTCACCGGCAGCCCCGTGGCCATCGCCACCACGGCTCGGCCAGGCTTCCTGGGTGGCTGGCTTAGCCGGATCCCATGTGAGTATGGCAGCGCTTGCCCTGCTCTCTCAGGCAGTGTTACTCAGGGGGGCTCCTGGACTTGAGACTGTGTATCCACTTCTCCCTCCCTCCAAATTTCTTTTTCCAGCCGGGTCCATTGGGGTGGGGATGCTGCAGAGTGGTACCACGCCATTCCAGGAGTGTAGGGTATCCTTGCAGCCCATTTGGGGAATGGTCTCCAGCTGCAACCTCCCTGCACAGGGCCTGTCCAGGATTATAGGTGCAATTTTGAAAGTACAACTCCTTAACGCTGAAGCACCAGGAAAGGGTTTAAATGCACTCTACATGTTTTTGCTTGGGTTTAACTGTTCTGTCCATCTCCGCTCCCTGAACATTGCACCAGTATCCAAATGGGTGCTCATTGCTGTGGCTGTGGCAGTGGCTGTTCTCCTCCTCCTCTTCCTCATCTGCATCATCAGGTGCTGCTGTGGCAAGAAGAAGCCCAAGAAGAAGGAGAGAGTCAGCTTGCATGCTGTCAGCGGCTCCAGCACGGCCTGCCTTGTGCGTCCTTCTTTTCCCTCTCCCCCACCTTCTTCCTCCCTGGAGGTTTGCTGCCGTGCTGCCCAGTCCTGGGGGTGGTAGGAGCACGGCATGGCCGGGGATGTGGCTGAGAATGTCCTGAGGGTAGCAATGCTCTCTCTGCCGCAGGTCCAGCCCGAGATGGAGGACCTGGAGCGGAGCGCGGAGCAGACAGGACGAGGAAAGCTGCAGTACTCCCTGGAGTACAACTTCCATGCGCAGGAGGTGGGGATGCTTGCAGCCGTGGCATGGCAGGGAAAAGGCTTTGCTCTTGCATGGACCCTCTTTTTTGCCCACTGTGGTGGACCATACCTTCTTGTACCTCCCCCCGGCCTGCAGCCTGCCAGCTCTCATGCCCACATGGCACGGAGGTGTCCTCCCTGCTGCACTTGCTTGCTTCCCACTGAGCCCCCAGTCATCTGCCCCACCCTCCTCCACCTGGTGACCTTGTGCATCGCTCCTTTTAAGCTGAAAGTCGGTGTGAAGCAGGCAGCTGAGCTGAAGGCCATGGACAGCGGAGGCACATCCGATCCATACGTGATCGTCTACCTAACATCCGATATGAAGAAGAAGTATGAGACCAAGGTTTACCGCAAGACCCTGAACCCCATCTTCAATGAGAGCTTCACTTTCCAGGTAGGAAACTACCGCTGATTATGGGTTTTTTGGTCCCATCAAGAATGTTGTATGGGCACTGCTCCCCAGGCACAAACCTCTTCAGGCAAGGAGATGCCTTTGCAACCGGATGGGAAGTGTCAGAGAGAAAGACCTATCATTGCATCTGCTGCCCTGTCCTGTGGGGCAGGGCTGCCACTGAGGAGTGAGTCCAGGCTTTTGGGTCCTCCCCAGGTACCCCAGGCGGAGGTGCCTGAATCCACACTGGTGATGCAGATCTATGACTTCAACCGCTTCGCCAAGCATGACATCATCGGTGAGGTCCGGCTGCCCCTGGCCAGTGTCAACCTGCAGCATGTCATTGAACAGTGGAGTGAACTGGTGGCAGCCAGTAAAGTGGAGGTTGGTCCTGGCGGTTGGGAAACTCTGCAAGGAGGAACGTGCTGTTGCTTTTGCTTTGCTTGCCACCACCCCAAGAAGCAGCCCCCTGGGGACAAGCATGAGGGTGGGTGACACCCGAGAAACTTGGGTCCAGCCTGGTGCTCCAGCCCCAGGTGAGCCAGCTCCTCTGCCCAGTGCTCACTGCTGGCATCTCTCCATCAGGAAGAGCAGCTGGGCGAGATCTGCTTCTCACTGCGCTATGTCCCCAGCACTGGCAAGCTAATGGTGCTCATCCTGGAAGCCAAGAAGCTGAAGCGGATGGACTCCCATGGGCTCTCAGGTCAGCAGGGACTCCTCATGCTCTGATCTCCCTACCCCTGCCCAGGCCTTAATGATAGCACCCAGAGCTGCAAAGCCTTGAAAACTCTTGATGCAGAGACCTGCTTCCCTCTCCCACCACCGTACGCAGCACCTGGCTGGCTCCCAGCTGTCCCCAGCACAGATACTCCAGCTTTGGGCAGAGCTGGAGGTATCTCTGAGGAGGGGATGTTATGGCTGGGTGGTACAGAGAGCTCATGGCAGGGGGAGGTGAGCTCTGGGGTGGCTAGCAAAAGGAAAAGGGGTGGATGCTCACCACAAAGAGTGACAAGTGGGATGCTGTGCTCTGCTCGGAAATGGCTCAGGGAAGCTGTTTCATGGCTGAGCTCCTCAGTCAAAAATTGTCACTTGTGTCAGCCATGTCCTCTCTCTCCTCAGATCCTTTTGTCAAGGTGCATCTCATCCTGAACAGGAAGAAATGGAAGAAGAAGATGACAAGTGTGAAGAAAAACACCTTAAGCCCTTACTTCAATGAGGTGTTTGTTTTTGAGGTGCCTTTCAATCAGATCCAGGTGGGTTTCCCTGTAGCGCCCAGGGCTGGGCAGTTTCCTGCTGTGGCAAGCCCCCTCCCACTGACTCTCTTCCTTGTGTCTCCCCTCCCAGAATGTGGACGTGGTCATCTCCGTCTGGGATCATGACAAAGTGACCAAGAATGAGCCCATTGGCAAACTCTTCCTGGGCTGCCGGGCCACGGGCAACCAGCTGCGGCACTGGTCTGACATGCTGTCCAACCCACGCCGGCCCCTCGCCCAGTGGCACAGCCTGCAGCCCCCAGATGTGGTCGACAAAGCCCTGGGGCTGAAGTCCCACCTCAAGATGCCCCTGCCCCTGAGATAGTGGGGGTCTCCTCCTCCACCTGGGGGGCAGGATGGAGGGCTTGCAGAGGGGTGAGGGGCTTCTGCTCAGCAGCATCTAGACATGTTGGTCCCAGCTCAATGTCAGCAAAGAGGGGACTGGGGGCTCTTTTTGGCCAAGAGATGATCTGCCTGCTGGTGCAGCTCATGCCATGTGTAATGCCTGGAGCAGGGCAGCTCAGCACCCCAGGGCAAGGCTGGGCACGGAGCAGAGGATGCTAGAGGGGACAGCGTGAGTGCAGGAGCCAGCTCATCCCAGCCGCTTGCGGGCCAAGGGGACAAATACACAGAGCTTCAAGCTCATGCAAAAAAAACCGAGTCCATTGATATTTTTAAAGCAGAGGATTAATGTGCTGGCAGCCTGGGGTGGGAAACTTCTTTGGTTGTGAATAACTCGGCAAGAGGTGAGGTCTTGGGAAGGCTTTATCTGTCCTGTGACTGCTTTTAAACAAGACCAAGATCTTGAAGCACCCTAAGAGGCTTGAGAGGAGAGAAGGGGGACAGGCTGGTGAGGAAAGTGTTGGAGATACAGGACTAGCTCTTTAGTGCGTCTGCGATAAGCATGCTCTGTGTCCTGGCTAGAGGCTAAATGAGACAGCAAAAGCAGCCACTGTTTGCCCACATGGCTTCACTCTTAGCCCACTCCCAGCCCGTGCTGACTCGTGCACCCCAAGATGTGATTTCAGGGTATGGGAGTCACCAGTGACCATCCCCATGGATCATGTAGATGAGGATGCGCAGTGTTGGCTCCATCCAGCCCACATGGTTCTACAGTACTAGCACAGCAAGGTTTGCACCCCCGGCACCTGGAGGTGCTGCCAGGATGGAGGGGCTGAGGCTCTTGCATTCATGCCATGATCACACTACCCTGATCAAGGCTGGGTTGCAGCCCTCATGTCACTTCTGGGCAGGTTTCTTGTAATCTGAGAGGTTTTTGTGGCCATATGTCCTGCCCTGCCCTGCTTCATGGGGCCGTGGGATAGGGGCTATGTAAGTAAAGATCCTCCTAGAAGGATTGAGGGCATTGGAGAGGTGCCACTGTCCCTACCTGTCCTTGTGTATGCTGCAGTTTGGGGCGGCTTGAGGGCAGCTCCTCTGAGCTATCTGCAAGAGGAAGCTCACTGCATCGGGCTGGAGGAGGGAATCGCCCTTGCTCTGAAATACTTCTGCTACAGAGCAACCATAGCACACAGAAGAGTTGGGCTCATATTATGGGATTTTGGCCTGAAAGGCAAAAGTAATTTGCACCGTGGGGAGCTGCTGGCACAACACTAATAGCTATCAGCCAGGCTTTAGAGGGGAGACAGCCCAGTGCATTAATGAAGAGCCATTAATATTGAAAAGCAGTTAATCTGCAATTACTCAGAGCTCCACCGAGCGACCATCTGAGAGTTAAACAAACATGGTGAAGCTGAGGAAGATTATGAAAACTCTCGATAGAGATTAATGACCTGAGCTTAACCATAAAAAGCTGCTGCGTCTGCTTCTTGATAAATATTCTCCAGGCTTCGCCATGGCTGTGAGGAGGGAAGAAATGACAGGGTGAAACAGCATCTGCTGGTGACAGCTAATGAGATGGAGGAGGAAATCAGTCACCTGAGAAAGACTTGTAAAGGGATGCTTTAAAGACTCAACCTTCAGGCTCAGCCTTAAATCAGGTTGGAACTGGCTGTACAGAAGGGAACATCTCTGAATTGGGTTTGGGGTCCCAAATCCATGGCCAGGTTGGTTTCTGGTGATGCTGTGTGGTGATTTAGGGCCATGCAGGACCCAGAAGGGGTTTGGAGGTGCTGAGAACAGGCATTTCCTTTGTGTCAGAGAGGGGGTGCGTGTGTGTGGAGGCGGGGGGGGGGGGCGGGGGGGGAGGGGGGGGGGGGCATGGGTGCGCTTTTTCCAGCCCCCTTTTTTGAAGTCGTGGCCTTGAGGTTCACTGCACAATTTACAGGGCCAGGCATAAAAGCACATGCATATTAGTCCCAAAATGGACACAGCTGAAGAAAGTGCAGGGACATCCTGTCCTTGAGAAAGGTAACCCCCAACACCAGTGCCCACCGCCCCTCTCTCCAGCTTTGGCCTCGCTCAGAGCCCAAATTGCCAGCACAGTCGCAGGTGAGCAGAGCCAGCAAGGGAAGCCCGTGGCACTTTTTGGGGGGAAGCCGGGGACCCTGGGAGGAAGTGCCTGGCTGGGCAGCTCCAGGCAGCCTGGGCTGATCTTTGGTGCTGTAAAACTCAGCAAACTGATTTATTTGCTCAAGAGGGAGAGGCGAGCGGGTAGGAATGATCTCCACCCAGCTCCCGTTTTTAATGCACCACCAAGGCTGCTTTCTTCCTCCGTCATTGCTTTTCCTTCTCAACCTGCCTTGTGCTCTTACACCAAGGCTTTGAGCACTCTCCTACCCTGGCAGGATCCTTTTTGTATCTGCTGGCATTTTAAGCAGGGCTGGTGGAGCTGGGCTTTGTTTCATGGCTTATTTCACCCAAAGTGAACACAGCCCTCTCGGGACCCTGTTCACAGGAAGGAGGATGGCCCCATCTCACGGGCAAGCATCTCCTTTTCACCTTGGCCTTGGCAAGGCCAGTTGTCCCCCATCCACCAACGACAGATGTCTGAGCATCTCTTGCCCGACTCATGCTCCTCGTGTACCTGGAGGGCCTGGAGCAAGAGGGTTCCCCAGTGGAAGACGCAACAAGTAGACAAATTAAAGGAGGGGGAAACCAACTCCTCCTCAGCTTGCATCTGTGCTGGATTCCTCCGTCTGCATCTAGAGGGCAGGGCAGGTACTTGCTCCAAGCTGGGTGTCTGTGTCATCTAGTCTGTGGCCCTGTAGAGCTTCACCAGCCAAGATTTCTTCTTCTGGAGATGGAGCATGTGTGTGAGAGGGAGAGAAAGCTGTGATGCTCTGGTGCAAGCCTGTTCCCATTGCCACAGAGCCAGCTGGCACCTGAGCGGTGATGCTGGAGGTGTTCGCGTGGCTTTTTCCAGGAGGCAGGAGCCAGCCTGATCCTGCACCACAGGGGCAAAGGGGGTTTTGCTGGTGCATTAAGGGGGGCAAAAGCAGGTATCCAAAGCCAGTCTGCATGGTGCAAGGTGTCTGGGTGGCGGGTGGGGAGTTTGTTCCTCTGCTTCATGTGAGGGACAGTCCCTCTGCATTTAATTAGCAACTTCGCAGGATGGTGGCAAGGAAAAAAGCAGAGCTTGGGCCAGACAGAGGTCTGTTAAAGCAGACAAGAAGTATTGAAAACTGAGGTGTTTGCTATTCAGATCTATAATGTCAATTATTTACATCCAGATCCAAGACTTCTGACCTCTGGAAGCCCCTCCCAAAGTGAATTATTCCCTGATTTAGTGATTTCTAAGATACTTGTCCTTGCACTTCAGGAAATCAAACAGGATAGCCGCACCAAGAAATGGCTGAGCCTTATATGTGCTTGTTGCCACTCATCTGCTGTGAGACAAAAATGATTATGGGCCGTCATCATTCAGCCTGGGTATGCACTGGCTGTCCTCCAGCCACAGATTTTTTGGCTAGTCTCACTGTTTTTAAGAGCTGGAGAGTATCTAAGCTTTTCTCACAAGGAGCAAGCGTGCCTGTTTTATAAATATTCGATAACTAGCATCATTCTGTCACACAACTTTATGGGGAAACGTGTGCTTTGCCATGCAACGGTTCCATTTGAAAAGCCCCGGCTCCTGGATTTGCAGGGTCTTATGCAGGTTTGCAGCTTTTTTTTTTTTTTAAAGCACATTTTTATCCTTTGTGGTTGCAGAGGCGGTGGTGGGGGATACATGAGGACGCCTCCAGGCTCAAAACCCAGAGGCAAAGCGAGAGGATGGTTGGCTTTTGTTCGAG